GTGATGATACTGTGCAAGTTTTGGTCTTTTTATTCAATTCAGTTTTAATTGATTTTGCATCAAATTCAAAGTAACTTTTGAAATATCATGTTTTGTTTAGATATTCTTTGAACTTTCTGACATCGGGTAATTTTTGTTCAATAAATCCTACGTTCCCGAAAATGTCTCGCAGCTTTTCAAAAATTTTGACCTACAAATTTTAATTTTCACATTTTCGAGCTTGAGCTTCACAAAAGATGTGAGGCATTCCCTCCATATTCCAGAATCTCTATCAGACTGCACGTCCATCTTTCTCTCCACCCCCCCCCTCCCCTCCCGCCTTCGAAGAGCAGAGATTTTGCAACGCTGTTCCGGGGGAGGGTTTTCCAATGTGGAGTCTACTTCAGTACACCAGCAGGTGGCTAATTTTGCTTGAGAAATCCTGCCTTCCAGAAAACTTCCTTGTTGATTTAGAGCATTACCTTGCAAACTGGTAGAAAAAGTTCTTTCTGTGGTCCAGAAACTTCCTTGTCGATTTTGTCCACGTAACTAAGACCAAATCAATAAATATGTTATGAAAAAGTGCTGTAATGGCTCGATTCCCTATACATATTGTATCATGATGAGGCTTTGAAAACGTTTTTGAACCATCCTTCGACCATTTATGGCCGAAGGTTCTAACCGCTATCTGACTGCTTTTCTATCAATGTTAGCAGATCAGGTATCTTTTGTCATTTTAATTAGAAGAGGTTATACAGAATTTTACTGTTTTACTTTCGCTTTATCCTCATGGAAAAAAAGAGCTCGTTCTGCATTTTCTAAGCTTTCAATTATTTGTGATTTACTTCCATTAGATTATGTACTGTAAAAGCACCCAATAAGAACTTCCCAATCCAGTTTTACCGTTTAGCTTAGATTCGTTTATTTACAGTTACTTGAGCACTTTAGCTGCCAAAACAACACTTAGTGGCTACTTTAGGTGTTCAAGATTACCTGTTATAGCATAGAGATGTATTATGAGTGCTAATGCAGCTGAAGCAAGTCTTTGTCATTTTTGCGTCATTCTGTTTATTAGGTTACGAAATCTACAGTTAATGATGTGCAGATGAAATGTGTTTGAACCACTTTTCAGTTTTTTCAGCTAATGTAGGTAGAGGTATGAGTCATATCGTGTTTTATGAGGTTGTGCCAGTTGTTTTGTTCTTCTTCGCCTATGACTAAGCAAAATCCAAAAGTTTTTATGGGGCACGTTGTTGGAAAAGTGGACATGTGCTCTTTCTGGAAGTAGGATTTTATCTACAGAGAATGTTGAGGATTTGCCACCATTTATAGTAATAATTCTCTTGTATCCCAAATCTCTCAAAGATTTGCTCTCCTATGGCTTTTTCTAATGGAAAGAGTGCATTTTATCAATAAAAGTGCAAAAGCTTGAAATGTCAATCACTCCATTGAGCATTACAAGTACCCCGATAAAATGTGCTTTTTATGCCAAAGTGAGTTCAACCGATATTCGGTATACCGAACAATCCTCTTTGGTATGCCTACGGATTCGATTTTAGAGTACTTCGGAAAGCGGTGATTTCGAAATATACATACCTTTTCGACATTGATGGGAGCGAGATTTTTTCAGTGAATCCATAAATTATGATTATAATAGTAAGGCCATCTAAGGCCTAGAAATTATTGTAGGTGAAAAGCGTTTTAATGTGAAAAAAAACTTCGTAGGAATTTTATTATGGTGATGTTTGATAACTGTCATTTTAGTTTCGAACTCAAAGTTTTCTTTCGTTTCAATTCGAAAATCATGAAAATCTTTGTTGAATAGAAATGCGTTTTGATAGTCTCAGTCTACTTATCCCCTTTTTCCTGAAGTTTGATGTATGATTTTTATTGAAAGATTTCTACATGTAATGACTGGCTGAAGTAGTCAGGAATTTTTGATACAGTCCTGTGAAGATTTACCGTAATTTCTGGAAAATTTCGAAAGATCAACGAAATCGCTTTTTTTCGCACACCTTTTATCGCTCCCGTATTGGCGCACTCCATAGCTGTCATCGCATGCACTTTCGCTCCACATTTTGCGTCCGCTAACGATCTGATGATCTTCGATAGCTGTGTGTGTTTCATGTCTTTGCCAAAGAAGAAGAAGTCGACATTGTGCCCATATATGCTCGACGACTGACGTTTCGTGTGCTGTGTTCTTCCCTCCTCACTCGGCTCCTCTCGTCACTCTGTCACACACATACATATTCGGCTTCTATTCATCGATTCTGTATTCATGCTTTTCTACTTACATGCGGTATGCCAGTTGCAATTTCTCTGATTTTTTTTTGCTATGAGAGAAACAATCGATGCGACGCAATGTTGCACTTCGCGCGCCGCGCGTTAAATCTGCGCTTATAATGCGCTAATTTATTGTAATCCGATGCGCAAGCTTACAAAATCCAAATCTAAACCTAAGAGAGATCATCTCCGAAACCCTATCCGATTACTATCTCCCCCTATCTGCCCCGGGTCCAGAATTTGATCTCCAATTTGGCGCGCATTCGGCGCGTTTACCACCGCCGGAGGTCGTGCGCGCCTCTCTCCGTCCAACCGACAAGACCATCGCCGTTTTAACCCCCTACCCTACCCTACCCATCTGAACCCTACCCTCGCCTTGCCGCGCTAAGGTGATGTCGCTTTTCAAAATGATTGACACCACCTATCTGCGGTTTATTCAGAGTTATGTAGCCGTGAGTTTCCTGTTCTTTTTTGTGTCGTCTGTTCTTCATTTGCCATGAATCGGATGTCTTCGCTGCTGTCCAATTACCGTTGCACATTTGCCCTTTGAATGTGAGCCTTCCAGAAAGGAGGATGAGTTTTGGGGTTATATGGAAGGGAGCGGATGTTCTTGAAGATGTAAAGCCACTGTTAAATGCGGGATGCGGCGCCTTTCATGGCGGGAAATGCAAAGTTCAAAAGATCATGGCAAACACTGCGCTTTTTGTGTGAGGGAGTGTTCCTTCTATAAAAATCAGATCCAAAATTTCATCTCCATAATCTCTTTACATCACTGAAAAGCTAGTTGGAAACTTCTGAAAACTTTTTTCTGGAATTATTTTTCATTTGTGGCATTCCTGAACAGTTTCTTTAAATCGATGACAGCTTTTGTGCTTTTGTGTCGTGTGAATTGCTTCGTGAACGGCAAATGCCGGAAATGGAAAATACGTTTTTTTCCTTTGTCGAAATCCCTAATTTTTGTTTAGGTGCAGTGGAGATGTTGTTCTCTGCATAGGTTAACTTATGTTCAACTTCTCAAATCACAGATCATAGTTCCGATCCGTTCTTTGTAGAACAAGAAAAATGTGAAACGAGAAATTTTATTACCACACGAAGACCTCTTTTGTCTGGAAAGTTATGAAATATTGCGCAAACAGTTTTTTTCAGCGCGCATTTCCAGTTTTGATTACTCACTTTTGTGCTGATTTGATTTTGCGCTAAAAGTTTATCCCACGTATTTCCTTTTATTCTTATACCCTCGCAATGCAAATGGTTTCAAAGCTGGAAGTAGAAAAGCTGGTTCTATTGAGTTTTTGGGAAATCTCATGTCTGCGGCGTATAAATCAGTCATTTTCTTAATTTCCGGTTTAAAGCCTAACTTTTGATTAATTGGCTTCGTCATGGCTACGAAGAATCTATTTCTTTTGGGTTTCTCGCAGGAATAGACTCTGATTGTATTAATCCGAGTCTTGGCTTTTCGAGCGATTTCAAGACGTGGAAGAGAGATATATCGTAACCATACCGTACATGAGTGATTCCAATTTCATGTGGTATTTCTCTTTAAATCTTCAAACAAGTATATTCCTCAAAACACTCAAAGATCATGGATTTTGGGTTTTGATCCGAGCAATTTCAAAGCAGAAAAATTGGAAAACATTTTGTGGGTTTTTTTTTGCGTGAGATACGTTATGATTTGGAATTACTCATGTACGGTAGCGTTACGGTATGCTTGCCGGTCGTATTTAAGAGAAGTGATTCTTGCCAAAATCTTCCTGTTTCAACCATACTATATAGATGTTTCGCTTCGAGGTTGCTGCAGTTTTGAGAGTGACGAATTTTTTTTTTTTTGAAAGGAAGGGATTGTTCACACAGAACCTTTTATTGTTGTTTTTTTTTTGCCACAGGAAAGTGGTTGTAAGTCTCTTAATTATTCTAAGTTTTTTCTACTTGAGTAAACTTCCCTTATGTCCCTTCGACAACCCGTCGCATGTATCTTCCGAGCCCCGTGCATAGGCGGTGACGTCAGTTGACTGCGCGTTTTTTCACCGTCCGACTGTCGCGAGCGCGCGTGTGTTGCGCGCGTCGTCGTCGTTTCTGTGCTTTGGCGAACGGTCGTCGATTCGTCGGTCGAGTCGTCCGTCCGTCCGTCGATCGTGTCGAAGCGGCAAAAGACACAGATGAAGTTACATTGGCTTCCTATGCCACTACACCTCGCCGCTCATCAAATTCGTCAAGCACAGTGATGAGTACCGGTTGTCCGTATCGGTGACGACGTCGATGCTTCCGTCGTCTATCTCCAGAATCTTCGACTCAACTCTTCGAAGAGTTCGTGCGCTAACCGCCACTATTTTCACTGTTATTGTGAATATTCTTTTCACAACCATTACTATGCCTATTCTGTTGCTTACTGTAAGTATACCGTAGCTTTTGTGTAACCGGAAATTTTGCACAATTTTCAATCAGCCAGAAATTCCCTCTTACCGCGCACAAAAAAACCCCTCGGACTTCTGCAATAATCCTCTACCCTTCCAAATGCTAATAATCTATTACTGTGTACTAGTTTCGAGGCCGCGCCATAAACGCTTGCAAGTTGATGCGACGCAGTGATAAAGTTCACTCCGCTCAGCAAACACTGAACAGAGCTATCGATTGATAGATGTGCAAGAAAATAGTAAAATTTTTTGAACTGAATCTAGCTAGTTAGGTTTGAATTATCACCGTCTTATGGCTGCTATATTGCTGATTAAATTATGATTTAGAACGGAGTGACCAACAACATTGAGGACGTGATCGCGAAAAATGCCATACAGGACGTCGTTGTTCCTGTAAGCATTTATACTTATGAATTGTTTTTGTGGTTAATGTATTGTAGTCCCCAGAAATGATGTGATGTATGCATGTTGAACAGCATAACAGGCCTTATCGACTTGTTCAAGTAGATCTTATCAGGGATTGAAAATATTGATTAAAGCCTAGATAAGGAATGTACTTTCTGCCTTATCTTTTTTCGAAGTCATCTATAGAAAATCAAATGGGATTGAAAAACTGTGTTCAAAATGTGTTTGGAGGGAAGGACGGGTCATTTCGAGAATTTCGAAAGTTTTGGGTTATCTCAGTTTTGAGTTATCTCGGTTTTTTTATCTCAGTAAGATTTTCTTAGAGTTTTCTGTTCCCGAGCGTCTTGTGAAGAGTAGTGGAATGAAATGATTTGCATGTGTTTTGAACGAAAAGGAGCCTGTTTTGATTATTTTTGATGTCTTTGGGTTAACCAGGTAAAAGATTTCTTAGAGTTGTTGCACCTGCTACTCACGCGATTACACCTGCGGTACGCCCATTGATTCAAAAATGGACTTGAATAAGAGGCGCAATGAAATCATTTTTGAGTTACTCATACATAATTGATAGATGGTTCTAGACATTTCTTTTCTTCTTTCTTTGTCTCCATTTTAGATAGAGTGTTCTTTCCCTTGTTGAAGATAATAGGACCTTTTCTGCAAGTTTGCGTTCGAGGTTTTATTCTTACTCTTATTGCCATTTGGGCTCAGAGTCTAGATATATAGTCTCTGTATTTTCTTACAGTAATCTCATCCATATCCCGCAAAAAAAATACTAATTTTGCTCACATTCTGACCCTTATGAATTTTGTACGTATCTCGCCATCGGTTTAGCAACCCTCCCTTTTTGGAGTTTTTAGAAGATGCTTCTGCTCTTTCTCGTTAAGCATCACAGTGACCAAACGCTGACGTTTGACCCTCTCATTATTCATCTAGCACTTCCAACATTCCTTATGACTCGATGCTTGAAAGAGCTACTCGATTTTCAGTTGGGCTTACTATGACTATAAAATGATGGGGAGCTTAGTGGTATAGAAGGTAGAGTATTGTAGGGGTAATGTAACAAATCTTGTAGTAGTAAAGAAGGAAGTATTATTATTTTTGAGATTCTATGCTATAATTTGCATTGTTATATTTTGTTTATTTCTAGACTACCAAGTCGGAACTGGGCAAGCGAAAAAAGAGTAAAAAGGATAAAAGCAAGGAAAATGTGATTATGGCCGAGAATGTACCCGGTGAGTCATATGGCATCATCAGCTATTTCTATGCTTTGCATACATGGTGACTAATGCCAGAGGCATTACGTCAGTCATCATATAGCTTAATCATTTCTTGTTTTGTTAATCATCTCTCATTGACTTTCCTGCGTTTCTGAATTTTTTTGTTCCTCATCTGTATTGTGAAATCTACATTCTACTTGAAAAGAATTAAAACTTGCAAAGTTTGTTCCAGCCACGCCCATTTGTGAAATTTTTCTGCTCCACGACGCCCATCCTTGGATATTTCGGCTCCAGCCACGCCCACTCTAAGCCACGCCCACTCTAAAATTTCTTGTGCTTCAGCCACAACCGTCTTAAAATTTCCTGAGCTTCAGCCACGGCCATTCGCGAAATTTTTTTGCACTAGCCACTACCGTTTTGAAATTCTGTGTGCTCCAGCCACGCCCATTCTGAAATTTCTCGTCTCTTCGTTCGCTCTTTTTTTCAAACTCGCTGCATTGCTCATAGTGACAAATTGGGTGTTCTAATGCATCTCATCATACTTCCAGCCATTTTACTGTACTAAGTGGTCTTCATTTTTCTAGTTTAGGAAATTTGCGGTAATCTGGGAATTTTTTTGGTCGTGTGGGCATTTAAGCGAATTTTCGGGAAGCTGGTTATGTTAATATTTGTATCGACATGCTAGTTTAGTCAGCACTAGCACTTATTTTGCCTTTTTTAAATCTGTTAGATACTTTTCCATAAATTTAGTTAAAGAGTTATCCATCCGCTCCTCTAATATATTTCAACGCTTTCCATTGCAACACATGCACCCTTTTCGACGCCCGAAATCACCTTTCTTTTCGATCAATTTTCACAAAGTGCAGTAGAAAACAAATGTGCGTGTGCAAGGATGGTGCCCTGAGAACGCCCTCAACGTTTGTTCGTTTTTTGCACCTGTGCAAATGTCGTCCCGCGCTTGGGCGCGTTTGCAAAATTTGTGTCGATTTTGGCGAACGTTGTCATAAGTCATGAAATTTTCTGCTTTCTTTTGTGGTATGGGAGTTATCTAGTGGAATCAAAAAATATTACAGTTTTTCTAGAAGCGCTTTTTATCTGGTGACTTTCTTTCTTGCTGGGATTTTTTGCGGATCTTGTTGTGAGCGCTCAGTAAACAAACAATTTCTGCGTTTATGTTGTATATCGTTATCTATACTTTTGCTCAATAATTATAAATTCTAGTTACTCTGCAGCTATTATATAAAAATTTAGTTCACATTACTATCTATCTGGATTGTTTAGTACATCTTCCATTTATGGTAGTCGCAAGAATATTTCGGTTTATAATTCTGCGAATAGGGATGGGCATTTTTTTGCGCATATCAGGAAACATGAAAATTAGATGAACAACATTGCGATAAAATTCTACTGTTATTGAAAGCTTCATGCATAAAATTTTAAGGAAGTGACGAAATTGTTCCTTATTGCCTTCCTTTTAGGCTCAATAGCGTGAATGGGTTAATTAGCCTGCTGCGCAATCTCCTATGCATAAGAGTAGATGCATTTGATATTCTATCGAGACACTTACTTTACTTGCCCAGGGTTTATATATAATGTTTCCCTCTAAATCTATGTCCAAACTACTTTTCTGACATTTTTGGAATATGAATCTTTCGCTCCATTTTTTGCCACAAGAAAGTTCATTTTCTTTACACAGGAAATCGTCACACAAGCAAGACAGCATGTCGAATATCTAAAATGTAGTTCTGTTCTTCATGCAGTCATCTTTCAACTTGGTCAGCTGACATTTTGAGAATCATTTTATGGAATGTAATACCCGTAATGGAACGGAAATGTCTTTTCAAAGACTTTTTTGCAGTTGCAATGGCTGTCTGCAAACTGGTTGCTCATCATATTATTGGTAATTTTACTTTCCACTAAGGTTGACATTTTCAAGGCCGCACCCTGTTATTTCGCAAGAAGAAAGAAGCGCAGCTTTTCAAATAGCTTCTACACTTTCTGGAGCTATTGATTGGGAAAAAAGAAGTTAGCTAAGCCTAGTACTCTCTGGCAGCGCTCCCACACCCAACTTTACTGCTTCGGCGCTCAGCTGTAGTCGGAGCGAGCAGCCGAAGTTATATCCGGCTCTCTGTGTTCGTACCGCGGGCAGTTCGTAGTCACGAGGCACGAGTGACTTGGCCGTCGTCGCTGTTTTGTGCGGTGCTAGCCAAGAGAGCGTAATTTGTTTGGCTATTGGCCAAGCTGCGGCTGACGCGCGCCGCCGCCGCCGATGACCATAGCCCAACGCCAAAGCTGGGATGTGCGTCGAAGAGCGACGGCGTGTCGGTCGGTGTGTATGTGTATCCGCTGCCCCGCGACTGACGGGGCCCACATGGCGATGTGTGGCCTCCCATCGGTCGCGGGGACGCGGATCGTCGCGAGAGGCCGAGAGCAGCGAACAGCCAGCGTTGAACGTCGCGTCGCGCTCATCCACACACTGCGTTCACGCTGTCTCGTTTGTGCTCGGCGGCGGCGTCTCCACGTCCGCTGAGCTATCTCTGATCCATAGCCTCGGCTTACGTTTTGTGCATCTCTCGAACGTGCGCACACTCACCGCGTCCACACGCACACGCACACACGCACGCAAGCATACATACACAACTGACTCGTTTTGCGTCATTTTGGCCCAGCGCCAGAATTTTGCACTCCCACATCGTGTCGTGCAATTCGTGTTCGAAATCGTTTCTGCGACAACTCTCTGGCACATAAGCACACATTCAACTGAGCTTGCAGCCCGTGTCCTTGCCCGCTCCTCTTCCAGCTGGTGCTTTAATCTGCAATTGCTGCGGTGTGGAGGAGAACTTTTTGCCTAGTTTACTTACTTTTCCATTTACTTTTTCTCCAGCATCAATTCCTTACCAATTTTGGAGAGAACCCGTTAGTGCTCGATTTGGTGCTGTACATGCCAGACGTGCATCTCTCTGTAGAAGTTGTATCCATCAAATTTCCCCAAATGAGTAACTCAGACTCGTTTTTGCGGTTTCCTGATTTATTACCCCCTTTTCCTTGTATTCTTTCCGGGCGCATCTTCTTCGCATTGTAAAGAAATCAGACAGTCATCTTCTCCCTGAACAGGCTATAAAAGCTTATAGTTCCGGTTTGAGAATGTGTCATCCCCATTTGGGAGCAAGGTTGAATTCTGAGAAGGTCATACTTATCGTTGCAAGAGATCATGTCGGAGCCGCAAAGCCCTAATTTGTTCGAAATAGCAAAACTTTAAAGTTTGAAGGTCATTCGGTGACGCGAAAATCGATTTTGCGGTGTTATATTTACGACAATATTTTTGTATTTTTTTGGATTTATTTTGCTGGGCAAATCGAATTGGACCTATATTTTAATAAGCTTTGTGAGCATTTACCATCGATTTTGGGCGAAGAAATGTTTATTTTACTATCGTTTTTGAGAGAAAATTCTGAAATCATTTCCTGAAACTCTATACAGGTGAGTATCTATTGCAGATGGGTGTGGCTTATAGGCTAGCAGTGAATTTGGCACGTCTAAATTCTATTTATTTAATTATAATATTTATTAGCCTTTTGCGAATTCACCTCATTCAAATTCCGTTGAGCTTGCTAATCCCTCTCTTCCTTTGAATATTCTCTGAAGTTGAATCGTCTTGCATAAGACCCCTCCGATCCAAAAAATGACATCGCAATGTTTATTTGAGAGTTTGTTTATATGAGGATAACCAGTGAATTGCAGGTCATATGGGCCAACTGCCCGTCGAGCAGCTAGTGGATCTAATCGAAGGTAAACCGGAACAGAACAACAAAAAACAGGTGGGCCATTTTGCCGTTCCCCGTGTGTGTTTCTGTTGCCGATGTCAGTTGCTGATGTTATTATTGTGTGTTCTTATGATTCCCTATGCATTGATTACACCTTACTATTTACCGAGTGTCCTCAAATGGCGGTCCCGATAGCAGAGCGCAGCGTCCACCAGCACCACAACCAGAGCAGAGCAGCTGACGCTTTCCTTATCGAACGCGGGGTGGACTTTATTTCGAGCGTGTGCTGATCTCTATATTTGCTCGCGCTTGCATGGGGGGGGGGGGAGGGTGAGATGGTGTGTGCGTATGTGTGGTGGTGTGCGATGCGCTCGCGCTCGCGATTTCGCCACGTAGAGACCAGCTTGCGCGTACGTTTGTCGCGTACGCGTTTCGCCATCGTCCGTGCTTGCGTGTGTGTGTGCGTGTGTGTGGTGATGCCCAAAAACTGTATGCACGGACGGTTGAGTTTCACGTTTCGCCCACCTCCTTCTATGTTCACACATACAGCGTAGCCCGCGCGTGTCGATCTCATCTCATGATCTTCTTCTTCCACTTCTACGCCAAATTGCGCAGCGCGTCTCTTCCATCACCAGCGGTAGTATCATGCATGGCGGCGACGCGTACGACACGACGACCGCATTCCAACGCGGTTGCAAAAGTGTGCGTGTACTCTCCTCTCTTCTCCGACGACTGCTAGTCATTTCTTTTCGTGCTATGAACATCTTCGGTCGTGTCGTGTGCGCGATACCACCGTCCGTACATCCATCACACACATGCACGCGTTCAGCCGCGATGTCCGTTTCTTTCTTCTTCGTTTTTGGATCGTCGTTCATTTCGGAATCTTTTCGGCGGCGATGTAATCGATTAAGGTCTACGGTGTCGTGTTCGTTTCGTTTCACATTCATTCGTTCGCTAGTTTTGCGAATCGTTCATTTATCTCATCGCTTTTCCATATCGCGCCTGTCCTGTCTTGTGCATGAATGTGCGCGAAACGAACACCACACACCCCCCTTTCCAGCCAATCTTCTTTTTGGATTTCTCTCCGCTTTGCACATTCTCTCTTCTTTTCCACCCCAACCGAGGTACCTGTTGCGCAGCGTGTTCGCCGTTCGCTTCGCCTCTCCTCGCTTCGGAAAAGACAGTTAAAACTGCTGCTGCGCCCATATGGGCTGTATCTAGTCCCAGGCGCGGCTGGGGCCTGCTCTGTCTCTGTCGCTGCTGCTTTGACAGTGGATGGAAGAAAAAAAACTCTTGCATCGTTCGTAGCCCGTCTGTGTGCCTTTCTATAGCGCTTCAGGTTTTAGTTCAGTGTTTTTTTTCCTGTCCTTGCTAGACGTCGTACATCGTTGTTCGCTCTATTGCGCTTGCCAGCTATTCTTTGTTGCTTCAGTGTCTGGTTGTAGGCTTGTGAATTTTCCTTTTCCTGTGATTTATTTCCCATTTCTCAAGATTGTAATTATTCTGTAATTTGAGGCCAGTTTTTCCTATCTTTCTGTGGGCGATTTATTGGCGGAAAGCTTTACTCTTAGATAATCTAGCTGGCAGTATTGTGGCAGTCTACTCGTTAAGTTGGAGAACTGCCAATTACCTAGACTAGGAACAGCTGTATGCGTTTTGTTAGACGCCCCTTGATGGATGAGAACTTACTCAATGCTTTCTAGCCCTCGTGCATTCTATTCCTGTTCTTTCTATGAGAGTGTAATAGGAGAACACTCATGGGGTTCATGCTTTCTCCTCTTGTCTCTTTTTTTTTGTTCCGCTCCTTTTCAAGCTGTGTGTGCTATTGTAGAGCGAATTTTTTTCCAGAGCGCCAAAGACAAGTCCGAGGTCGCCACCGACGAAGCGACGATCCAGACGAAGAAGGAGCGCAGACGCAAGTCGAAGGAGCTCAAAGAGGCCGCTTCGCCGTCTGCCTCGAACGCCGCCACCATCGGCGCATCACAGACGAAAACGGGCGGGTCAACCGCCGCCGCCACCGCCGCCGCTGCCGCAGCCGCCGCCGCTGGTGCTGCTTCTTCCGCCGCGCCGGCTAACACGTCGCAACCGCCGAAAATGTAAATATTTTTTCGAGAGATGAGCGAATTTGTCCAAGTTTTGTGCGGGCATTCGCCCAAATTTTTGCCATGCAAATACGTACGTGTTTTTTAGGGAATTTACGGTAGCCAGCAAACGTGTCACATCGCCTGGAACGGAAAAGCGACGTGGAAAAGGAGGTGCAGGTGGTGAGCGCAATGTTCGGTGTTCTACCGAGGATGCCGAAGAAGAATTTTTGAGTGCTGATGAAGGCGTGGCATCATCTATTGGGGACGATCCGGTGAGTCATGAAAAATTTTTCTGTTTTTTCCACAAATCCCTTTCAAGTAGAGATTGAATTGCCAGCTCCGCTCACGCCCGAATGTTGTAATCCCTTTATTTTTGACATCTCTTTCAAAAAGTTCCATTTTCTGCTGCAATAACATCTTCGTTAGTGTGTTACCCATCCGTCTTTGCATAGCCGCTACCGTACCACTTTCATTTTTACCACCCAAAAATTTCGCTGCAATCTGACTTTATATTTCGTACTGTAGACGGGTAGAAAGATCACTTTGATGTCATCAATACGGTTTTTTAGTTCTAAATATAGTTTTTTACGGTTACATCTTGTGCTCGTAAGTTTTTGTATTTCAGCCAATATAGACTGATGCGGAAGATTCAAGTTTTGCTGCCTTTGTAAGCTGACACTCAAAGCCAAAGTAATCAAAATCGTTGTCATCAAAATTGATATTGAAGTTGTTTTGCAGATCTAGACCTTTCATGGTTGCAGATATTCCTTTACAACTTTGGGTCTAGGAAAATCTGCTTGTGGGGTGAAAACATAAATGAGTGTCCAGAGAGAAAACTGCTAGTAGAACAAATCGTGAATGTTCAAGAAAAATTGCTCAAGATAAAATTTAAAATTAGTACAGTAATGGGATCAGTAATACAGGGTGTCCCAAAAGTAAGTACACACTTTTCAATCGTCAATATCTCTCCTCCTAGTGTGTCTCTTTCCGCCATTCAAATACCGTTCTGTAGAGGAGGCTTCAACTTAGATATGCAGTATTGAGCGAATCACCGATCGCACTTCGTTACTGTAGGATTACTGTAGGAACTTCAACAAGAATTTTAAGTCGTTTGAAGCCATATTCTGCCTCGGAACAAAACCAAACAATCCAAAATCTCTTATACTATGGTAATGGAAGCCGCTGATTTCGAATATGAAATTTCCACTTTACTGTGATGCTTCTATCCAAAGTTATCCCAGGTAAACCGTAATAACCGATTTTCCAGTATTTGTCAGAAATGTGATTACACCGTCAAAGAAGCTGAAAACACTCGTAAAAAGTTGTGTAGTAGAATCAGCGTGCGCGAAAACCCTAGTACACGATTTTTCAGATTTTTTTGAAAAAAATTTGTTAGGTGGCATAATTCACCGTGGTTTCACATGCTGGAAGTTCTTACCGTAATCCTACACCAATGAAGAGCGATCGGTGATTCGATCGATACTGTAAATCTAAGTTGAAGCATTTTCTACAGAACGGTGCTTGACTGGCAGAAAAAGACCCATTGGGAAGAGAGATATTGACGATTAAAAAGTGTACTTACTTTTGCTACACCCTGTAGATTGGGACTTTATGTAGTTCCGAAATCTCGTAGAATTTTCTCTGCCATAGAAACGAGCATATTAGACTAGATCTATTGCAAGTTGTGCCACTGCCAAAAATACCCAATTATATTGCTTTAGTCCGTACCCGCTTCCATGGTAGCATCCCTGGCAATAAACTCGAATTCGCCGAAAGGAACTACTACGTCAGATGTAGTGCTGGATGGTCGGAATTACAGGTTCGCAGCATGAATGATCAATGGCCGCTTTAATAGTATCAAATGCCAATAATCTTGCTTTAGAGCGGATGATGAAGACGTCACACAGATTGAACGCCAGTTTGCGGATGAACAGGAATTTATCACAGTGAACACGAAGAAAAAGAAGTCGATGGAGTTTAATGGGAAACAACAACAACAGCAGCGTACAGGGTAATTGCAGAATTTTCTGGAAGGTTTGGGAAAGATTTGTTAGAGTTTTTCTTTTTTCAAGATCGGCCGGTAAAGATGAACGCCATCAGCGTGCGATGGCTGAACGATTAGAACCTGCACGTCGAAGTTCTCTGGGTATCACAGCCGAGTCAAGAAATTCGACAAATGGTCCTTCATCTGGACGTCGTCCAACTACTGCATCCCTGGCTGACTTTTTGGATGAAAAGGTAAGATTTTTGGATTTTTTTTTTGAATCACTGACTGCCATTTTTTGCTTTTACTGGTATGTTTTTGTACTCTTGCAAAATTAATTTTGATAAAAGTTTCAAGGTTATTTACCCTTTAGAATCAGTTTTAGAGAAAAGAAAATCACCTTTTAGATTTTGAAAATTTTTCTAGCTATGATGACATTAGATTTTTTCAATAAACGGTTTCGTAACTTCAGAGTTACAATTGAAAAGAACTCTTACTGTTTTGCTTTTATTTCTTTACAAGCTCTAGAGTTCTCCATGCGCAACATTTTTCGCATCTTGAAATGCTAGTTCGTCTGAGAAGCACAGTACGTGTTTTTGCTTATGTCTAATTGCTCTAGGATGGTGGTAGAGTTCATAGCAAACCCACTTCGTCGACAACCGCTAAAACTGTGAAAAAAGTTCATCGCAATGAGAATTCGGCGGTAATTGTACCAGTTTTCGCTTTCGACTATGTTTCACTTCTTACGTGAATTGCATTTTAGCGGCAATCGCAGCCTGATGTTGAAGTTTCGCTACCTGAACTGCCGTCCGGTCCAGCAGCAGAGCAGGTAGGGTTTGGTTTATTTGGGTTTTTGAGGGTTGGGATTGTGCTAAGAGATTTTATATAGTAAAAAGGTACACTGCTTTTGTCCATAAAAATATATTTAGTGGATAGACATCGATTGAATTTTGTACTTTACTAATTTTTTTCGATTTTACAGCACATAGCACAAACTTCTAAATGTTCCCTTTTATTCTTGAATCCAGCTTAGCTAGCTATGGCCTTCAGAATACAAATTTAGACTTTCTTTGCTTTCTGAGGCTTTCAGAATAAATTAGACATTCGCATGCTCGCCATTTCTTTCTGACCCAGGCATAGATTGAAACATGGGAAAATGTTAGCTTAAGTCGTGTTTTTGCCCATACATTCTCATCTGGGCACCTCGTGCACAATTTTCACCTCAACACGTCACCTATCGTCATTGTTCTCACCTTAGATTGAGGTAGCAATAATGCGACATCGAAGGAGGGGTCACGCTATAGGGGCGTAGGGTCATTAATATCTGTACTGCAACAGTGGTTCTGTCTTTGTACGTTTTTTTTGGTTAAGTGATCGTGCTCTGACTTTACTGGTTCTAAAATTATGGCAGTATCTTTTTGCAAGGCGTCTGAAACGAAAAGGGTGTGGTGATGTATCTGCGTCATCGCTAATTGGTTTCAGGTGTTCGAAAATGAACAATTTGTGCTAAGTCTTTCCGCCTTTCCTCTTTTGGTTGCTAAAAGGTTTTAAATTTAGGCTTTAATGATTTGTCATTGAAGTCATTTTTGAACTAAGAGATCGAAAAACGCGAGCGCAAAAATTTGCTGTTTTTGCAAGGATGAAGGCTGATATGCAGGAACTTCTTTTTTCACTTTTAAGCGTCCAGTTGCTATTGAGAAAAAAAACTAAAAATTTTCAAAATCTTAATTTCAAAATTTTCTGGAAAAAAAAAAGCTCCTTGATATGCATTTGTCTTCATCATATGATTGGTTTTTCTTTCTTGTAAGAATTCCGGCTGCTGAGGTTCTCGCAGAAAATTTGACATCAGTGGTCTGATCTGATCAGACAAAATCCTTCTTAGTGTAATCTGGAATGATTAAAATACAAAATATTGTTTTCTGTGTGTTTTTCCCCCACCCCCTCCCCCCCCCCCCCCCCCCGTCTCGAGGAGCTTTATGTGGTGAGGGATAATTTCAATCTTCTGTTCTTCGACGCTTGAGCAACGCATGGAGAAGTATCTTGCAACTAGTTGTTTTTTACTAAAATTTGGCACTTTTTCAAAAAAAAAATTTTTTTTTTGGTAAAAATCGTTTTTATTTGAAAAATTGCCATGGTTTTGTAGATCGGAAGCATTTCGTTGTTTGCAGATGTTCGTTCCAGATTTTTAATTTCAGTTTTACTCGTTTCCTGCTGATTGCAGGCACTTATAGTTTTTTGACACTCAAAAATACAGGTCTCAGTTGAATTGCCGCCTAATTTGCTATTCAACAGTACGACTGCTAAAAAAACAATTCGAACCATGTTCTGCTACGTTTCTCCACTCAATAGAGATGTTATGAGTTCGCTAGCCAATTCTCAACGCGTCCGTATCGCATACGTAGTGTCTTTTTACGGGATTTGATTGCGCAACAACCGATTACTAAACGTCGGCCGCGAGCGACCTCCACACACACCACACACACACACACAGCACATTGCCCCTTTCTCTCTATCTGTCCGTACAGTTCGTCACCAGCACCGTATCGATCGTATTCCCGCATTTTTCGCGCCCTCAATCGGCAAACTTTCGGCTTATGTCACCGCCGTTTTCCTTGATGGGTTATGAAAATAGACTTCCACCCTGCAATTAGGTTGTAAAGGCCGCTTGACCAGTTTAGAGCGGTTATTTTTGTGTTGTCGGCACTGCTGAGAGTTTTTGGAATTGTGCCAAGAATAGCTCAGCCCACTTTTGTTTGTAAATTTGTGCTTTTCTGGCCATAGCATTTTTCTGGAGATTATGGATTGATAAGAAGTGCTAGATAAGCGAAATGTCCATCTAGCAGGTGTTGTCTCGCTCTCAAGTCGGGTATTGCGTGATGAAATTTTTTGTTTTTTGGCAATTCACCCGTAAAATTTTGAGATTTTGAGCAAGAAAATTTTAAGAAATGACATTTTGAGGAGGATGTCTTTCCTGTTTCGAATCACAAAGATTACATACGTTTCTTGTAATTTCAAAATTGTTTTCTTCATTGTTTTTTCGCGCTTTTCGACAACTTCTAGCAGAGGACTGCAAAACATATTAATCAAGTCCTAATATACAGTTCTTTCTTTCTTCCTTTACCCATAATGTTTGTTTCCAAATTAATCGTTACCCAACTGAAGTGGTTGGTTCTCGTTTCAGTGCAAAATTTTCTATTTCTTACAAAAATGAGCATCTGGCATATTATTTAACAATCTCCGACCCCGGCGCCCAATCGGGCAATGATAAAACACCGCTGATCAAACATGGAACATATTGTCTCTGATGTATGTAGCCATTAATTAGTGTAGCTCCATCAATTAGTGTTTTTGGCGATTTTTTTTAAAGCGCGATTATGTTGTTACAGTGATTTATTTGTGGCTAAGCTGACAATTGAATATTGGCTCTTCGGTCAATCAAAAAGAAAAATTCCTGTTTTCCTCACAAATAATTCATCAAACAGAGTATGTAGAAAAAAATTTTGTAGTTGATTCAAAGTGAAATTAATTTGGAAGTGAGTGGAATGCATGTATTGATTGCAGCTGTGTTTGCTTTTGATTACAGTTTTAGAGATTGTTGTATTTGTTTCGTAGTCATTGTTTTCCAGATGTCAAAACCTGCTGCTTCACAGAGCGTCAACAGTGATTCTCCCGAACGAACGTTCTCATATGCTGATGCAGCTAAGAAATCGTCCGAGCCTAGTGAGTCTCAGTTTTTAGTTTTTGCTAATTTTGCCCTTCTTGAGAACTACGATTTGTTGAGTCATCTTATCTGTTTGTAAAAAAATGCCCTAAAACGCTGAGAAGGTGGTTTATGTCCCTTTTATCTATGATTTCGAAGGTGTGCTAAAAATTCGTGCAAAGTTTGATGAAATTTTTATGATAATAATTTCCAGGTCGTGATAACTCCCCTGCTTGCGTAGCTGTTGCGTCTCCATCGGCAAAATCTGATTCACCAGCTCCACAGACTCCTACTCCCCTCAATTCTTCTGATCAGTGTGGTGCTGAAGGTATGCGTTGATTATCGATTTGTTTATGTTGAACGGTAAATTAATTTTAGTGTTGCCCTGTGCTGATGTGGCCGCAAGAGGCTCTTCGAGTGTAGCTGATGGTCTTTCCTTTTTCTATGATGAAAGTGAAGCTGCACAGTGTGACCAGGATGAAGGTTAGTTCTTGGACTCTTTGACCTTTCAGTTTGTACAAGTTTTTTGGACTTTAAATGTTATCGTTTTTCGTCTTTATACTTTTTTTAAGTGTTACTTTTTTATTTTAGAAGATGGTGAAACTGGCCCAGATGGCGCATTTGTGCTAAATCTAGCTGGCAAAACGGTTCGATTTGCCAAAGGCATGGCATCTCCTGCTGTGGATACCCCTCCCTCAAATAGTCGCCATATGTGTATGGTGGAAATGTTAGCACAGCGATGGAAAATGTTTCAGGAAGGAAACGGTAGGTATACTGTATCTTTTGAACCTCCTTTTTCCTTGTGTGCATACTTTTTGGAGCTGTTTATTTTGTTTTGCTTGCGTTAGTTTAGCGTCCTTGAAAGCTTTGAGACCCATTATCAAATGAGTTTTTTTTTTCAGTGCCGAAAATCTACCAACCCAGGATCGCATCTTCCTGATGAGTGCCCACATATGCTATGCTTTGCACAGTTTCACTGTCTGCTGGTTGAGCTCTACTATGTATTGGCTTGCCTTAACTCTTTCGACCGACTTCTATCTATCGTGTGAAGAGTAGTGTCAGTGTTTTCTCTGCATAATTAGCGAATTTATGCGTCTGTAGTTTCCTTTTTCCTTGTGTTCCGATTTACTTTCAATTGATCCGCCGATTGCTTTCACTGTTACAGACTTGTCCGTTTTTGCGTCTTTTCCTGATCATTTTGACGCAGTCCATCTTTGTATTTTTTGTACTTGTTGTAGAGTACTCGGTGACGATCCTAATAATCTTCTTTTAGTTCTTCTATCCCATTGTGTAGCGAGAATGTATTCCCCGACTTTTTAGTCTAATCATGAGTCCAGTAATCTTTTTATGTCTTGTACCGAAATGTTTCCTAGATGTAAAGTCATATCTAAAAATATTTGCGCGTTACTTTCTTTCCAAGTATTTGTTATCTGTTTTTTACTTTGTCAGAGGTCCCAATGTGACTATTTTCTTTTTCTTCTTTGTGAAAATCTGGATGGAGCAGCAGAATTCGATTAGTTGGCTATCTTTCTCATTCCATCCGTTCTCTTTTGCTGTCAGAAGCTTGCCGCCCTAATCTAATCATTTGTCGAGGGCCTATATAACTACAGTAAGTCGAAAACCTAAGCTTCATAGCTGCGGAACTGAATTTTTATGGTTTTTGCTCTGACTTGGGCTGCTTCTTACAAGAAAAAAATCTTGCGAACCATTTTGCTTATTTCTTGCGCGCTAAGCTGAGAAAAACGCGCATATCGAAGCGAAAGTTTGCGCTGAGTTCATTTCATACATGTATGTTGCTTTACGTGTATACTTATCTTCTTAATTGGCTCATTGTTTCCAATTTCGTTTGCCAGAAGAAACTATGTGAAGAACAACACACACTGTTGAGACGAAGTAATGTTGTGGTCACTCACTACTCGCTTGTGCCCCCCCCCTCTTCTATTCCTTTCTCTCTTTTCTTCTCCTTTTTCCTTCTTCTTTCCTATCAGATGTATTGCACGAGATGTTTTTTCTAAATTGTGACGCTAAGCCACACATACACACATACATATGTTCCTGATGTTTCGCTCTGTGATCATCGATAGTTTTATCTTTTGTATCACACTAACGGACTGTCAGAATTTTTGGCCTTTGCAGATTTATTTTCTTATCGTAATAACTAGAATTTTCTTTTGTTGAAAATTCTTGCAATGGCTAAAAACTGATATGGAAAACGCGTCATCAACTATCAAATGTTGCTAGAATTGTGTGTCATATGCGGTCCATCACACTCTGTAGCTGTTGTTCACGCGCGAATGATGTCTTTTCTCTTAATTTTTTTTCGCCGTAATAAATTCTTTAAACTTTGTTGTATGTTCCATATATTTTGTATGTTCCATACAGAGAATATGGATGTATACAAAATTGGTTAGCATTCCGTTGTTGATTTTCGTACAAAACCACCGAAATGTGTGAATTTGAAAAAGGGACCTTTTGAGATATTTTTAAGCGACAGCGACTCAATGTTGAATAGGTTTTAGTCAAGGTGATGACCATAAATATGTGAAATCTAAGGATTTGAAAGGATTAAATCCCATAAGAAATGTTAAAGAACGAACGTAAATTTGTGCATTTATGACTCGAATTATGTAGTTCCGGAGGTACACGTACTATAAAAATGAGTGATTATGAAAATTGTAATATTAAGTTCCAGGAACATAAACAGCTCAAAATGTCACTTCATTGATTTATGTAGCATACTTTATGGTGAGGTTTAGTAGTCACATGCATGTTCCTCAGTTTCTCTTGATACGATTTCCAGTGCTTGAATAAAGGACCAAACAACTTGTAAATGATTTTCAAATACAAAAAAATTGAGGTGAAAGTTCACTTACAGTTTAATGCGGCACAGACTTTAGAGGGTAAGATATCGCTTAAAGGGTGACTGGAGCGAAGACTTTTATTTTTATTTTTATTTTGTAGAGTGGTGAAGTCAGAATTTTAGAAACGTAAACGTACTTTGGTGGGAAACAAGTGTCGTAGGCGATAGTGGTGTCGATAATAATTTATCCACAGACGAACCCGGTTTCGGACCGGGGGAGCCACCTATAATACAATCGGGGCTCCTTATATAGGTAGTAAGGCGGAACTGACCCGTGCACAATCGGAATGTCCAGGAAATATATGCAAGAAAGAGGATGCCGCGGCTTGGCGCGGCCCCTGGAAGATAGGTGCCACTCATTGGTGAGTGATTCGGCACTTAAATATAAGCGGTTGGAGAGTATAGCCTATGGGGAATACCCGTAAGCTATCAGGATTATAGAATTGTTGAGGTTGATGATACATAAATCACCAACACTCCGGGCGAGCAAGAAGGAGGCGAAATCTGTTTAGATGTAAATAAATAAATACAATCAAAACCTCCTAAAAGCATCTGTACTTGGAAATTGAGATATAGCTGTGTTCATGAGTGTAAGTTATTAGATTGGTTGTCGAGGTTGATGATACATAAATCATCAAAAATCATCAACACTCCGGGCGAGCAAGCAAGAAGTTAATCTGGTAGGCACGAATACAACAAATGCATAGAATTGTGTAAAACTTAGACATACTAATGGAGGCTATAGACGGAAGAGAGTTTACGGTGAACAGTTGTAGTCGTTGCTCGTTGCTGTTCCGTAGTATGGCTTCGCCTTTCGTCGTCGTCTCTTTTTCCTCGTCGGATCTGCTCTCGTCGATTTTGAGTTGACAGAATCGCTTTCGGTGATTATCTTCGTGATAGCCGGCGTTTCCGTGATCAGATGTTCGTGATGTGTGATCTTCGGCATGTCCGTCATCTTTATCATAGCTTGTGACGTCGGCTGAAGTGTTCTGGCAAGAGTTCCATTCGCACTCCTCGTATTGGAGCTGGAACTAGAGCCTAATATGCAGCGAACTTTGACCAGTCAACGTTGTCTGTCTGCCTTAACTTCGCGGTTGAAAGCAGCTGTCCGCCTTTTCCTCTTTTTCGGTAACAACTCCGTTGTCTTTTGAGATGTTACTTCAGCATACGCTTGGAGAATTCTCCTGTTGATTGCACGTGTACTGCCTTCGTTGAAATTGGTGCCCAGTTTCTTCGTCGTCAGCCAATTGACGTGTCGTTGAGGGTGAGGGGTGGATCTGGAGGCTTCCTTCATCGTTGATGTACAACCAAAAGTGCCAACGATTTGTGCTCACGTTAGTACGGCTTGTACCGGATATGACATATCCAAAGATGGTTGGGGTTAAGATGAGCCCCGAAGGAAGCTTGAGCACTGTTTCGGTGTGAACAGTGATGAAGTTGAAATCTTGTCCAATAATGAGGTCAGGCAAGACGCTTTTTTGAGTGAGCGTATCTTGAGCTATCTTCAAGTTTTTATTGGAAATGAACTGAACATCTGCATCTGTGAGATGTGCTGTATGTAGATTGGCAGTCAACTTGTCTTTCGTGTGCACTGATATCTTCTTAAGCTTCTTTGCGTTGTGAAAGCTTTTCAGTGTAATTCGTACTTCATTGGAACTGAATGCCTCTTTCAATTCTCCCATTTCTGATGTGGTGAATGACGTCGTTTGGCTGACTGGCAGCTTGAGCTCTTCACTAAGTTTTGATTTGATAAAGCTTCGCTGGGCGCCGGAGTCAATCAGTATTGTTGTGGTTGATAATCCCAATGTTCCTCGTTAAATATCATTGCCGACGCCATTTGGAGTACGCTTTGGCGCACGACGGGTAGTTCTTTGCTTGAGCTGCAGACTTCGTTTCCATACGACGGGCTTCGTGCAACGTGTACTCCATTTGCTTTTCGATGATCTGAGTTGGTTCTTCGCTGCATCCTAGAGACATGCAAATGTTGATTGCTGCTCGTAGGAAAAGGAGACTGCTCGGGATTTCCTCGCTCCTCTTCCCACTCCGATTCATTATCTGTGTCCTGATGGTCGCTCGTATGTGAGGTGCTTGGAAGCAGTGTCTTCATCGTTAGTGCGGTCGTTTCCCGAAGAAAGATGATGTCGTCGATTGCGTCTAGAATCTCGGAAACATTGAAGTGATCGCCGCATACGGTTTCCTTCTGTATGACGGTTGCGCAGATGTCTTCAGGAAATTTGGACAGAATCATTCTGCGCCAAATTCTGTCTGCGCTCATCTTCATTCCAGTTTGTTCCAAGTGGATGATCCGTGAATTGATTGCTTCGAACGTTTCTCGGCAACTTTCGGGATTGTCTTTTGCTCCATGAAGTCGTTCGATTTCGTTGATGAGTATATCTGCCATGTTGGCAGACCGGTCAAAGTGCTTCTTCAGGATGTCAATGGCCGTCTTGTACTTGTCTCCAACGACGGGGATGTAGTTTAGAGCTGCAGCAGCTTTTCCTTTGAGAGCTTGCTTCAGAAAAAGGAGTTTGTCGCTATCCGAGAGGTCTTCGTCACAGTGAATGAGTGATTCGAACACTGTCCAAAAACTGTTGAACTCTCTGAAGTTGCCAGAGAATGTGGGAATCTCTAGGAGCGGTTTCCGGATATTGATCTGGCGTTCACTTCGTTCTTGTTGAGCTTCTTCCTATCTCGCTAACTGACTGGCTTGGGATACTAGGAGCAGGCGTATGCAAAAGTTCCAGTTGCTCCCTCAGTTCATGCTGTCTGAACTGTATTCTAGTCTGCCATTCCACTACAACCACTTCTAGATCAAATGATTCAAGCTCTAAGTGCTTGCTGAGTTCAGTCATTAGCTTTTCCCTATCTTTCTCATCATTCCGTGTGTTGATGTACTCCATAGCGGCACTGGTTTGCGTTTCTTGGAGCTTCATTGCGTTATGCAAAGAGTTTAGGAGATTAGTTATTACTCCTGTTTTCTATTTAATGTACAGCTCACATTGTTCTTTTATCGCAGGAAATGTGAAGGGAACATCAATGTCATTAATTTGTGACTCGTGCGATTTTAAGAGCTTGCAGGCATTGTTGATCCTGATTTTGAAAAGTTGAAGTGCGGCCATCTTCGAGATTCAATTCCGACTTCTTTTCCTTTTGTCCTACAGCTAGTTGGCTGCTTTGCTGTTTCTTCAATGTACAAGTTAGCGAGGTTTTCGCAAACTTGCAGGCTCGTTAGTGGTGTTGTTGAATAGAGACAGGTGTGTGCTGATCTCTGATGAGCAAGCGTGCCTGGGTGGCTTGAACGCTGTGCTGACTGGTAAGGTGGCTTGGACCTTGACCAGATAAGGATTGGGTTTCAATCCTTTGAGGCAAGAGTTCTTGGTCGAACTTTGACTTTTTTGGCAAAATGAGCTCTTGTGACTCAAGTTACCTTCCTTTCAAATCTCAATGTATTGATCTCCGGTCCCTGGATAGGATTCGCGAGAGATCTATGAGATTGATTGGAAATTTTCACCCACAAAAATTTGTTCCGCCTCTGGATCACTTACGAAAAGGATTCACAGAAAGTTTCACGGTCTTATGTGGTTATGTGCTGCACTCACAAAATTTGTTCCGCTCTCTGAATCACTTAGGATACACAGAAAGTTTCACGTATTAATGTGGTTATG